TTAAGGATTCGAACAAAGGCGTTCAATCTTGTTATCTGTTGTTGTAGATGTGCAGGAAGGCAATTAAAACGTTGGCCTCTGAAATGGGTCGGGCCCAGACACCACAACGTCTGCAAAGGATGTCTGAGTTATCATCACTTGTCATTAAGTCCTGTCCTGGCATTCCACAGGAGGATAAGGTACAAGTCTCTGATGGGAGTTTTACAAAGCTGAACCATTTGACTCCTCACCTACATCTACAAGCTTGACTACTCATGGAGTTACACTTGCAGCTGTGCAGAAAACTATGATCTTTCTCTAATTCTATATGATTGTGCCTTTTGTTATGCATGGCATGAGCCTTTACTTAATTGTACTACATGTACATGATGTTGATTTTATACGGACATCTTTTTTCAATGTCTGTATCTGCAGCATGGAAGTTTTTGGATGTCATGCTTATGGCTCTTCATCTGTCTCTGAAATTTAAATGTGCTGAACAAAAACATTTCATTTCAACACATCAATTTCTGTCTTTTCTCACAAAATGTTTTCACTACAAATGCATTTTGAGTAGAACACTGCCCAAAATGTTTGCATATTTAGATGCTGGTTGAGCAACAGAAGTGTTGCTTTCAGTCTAAGAAGTCTAGTTTTAAAATAACAAATTTATGCTGCCCTATAGGACATGGCCATGGGTGTTCTGAAGTCCATCACCCTCAATGTGGACCAGCTGGACATGTCTGACCCGTCGACTGTCCAGTCTGTGGGAGGATGTAAGTACATTATGTCATGTTCACCAGTCGTACGGTGCCTCATGTAATGTATTCTCAGGTTGTTTTTGTTGCTAATCCAGGAGAAACATGTCACATAAAACTTTTTAGGGTGAAGAATTATGTTTCATGTGAGAAAACATGTACATTTAACACTGACATATAACAGAAAGTAAGAAATATCAAATGAAACTGTTTCTTCTATTCTACTGCAGCTCTGGTGGAGTCTGTTGGTTCTGTGTTCATTACTTTGATAACGTTTGTTTCTGTTCTACTGCAGCTCTGGTGGAGTCTGTTGGTTCTGTGTTCATTACTTTGATAACGTTTGTTTCTGTTCTACTGCAGCTCTGGTGGAGTCCGTTGGTTCAGTGTTCATTACTTTGATAACGTTTGTTTCTGTTCTACTGCAGCTCTGGTGGAGTCCGTTGGTTCTGTGTTCATTACTTTGATCATGTTTGTTTCTGTTCTACTGCAGCTCTGGTGGAGTCTGTTGGTTCTGTGTTTATTACTTTGATAACGTTTGTTTCTGTTCTACTGCAGCTCTGGTGGAGTCTGTTGGTTCTGTGTTCATTACTTTGATAACGTTTGTTTCTGTTCTACTGCAGCTCTGGTGGAGTCCGTTGGTTCTCTGCTTGAGGACCCAGAGAGAGATGAAGAAGAGGCTGATGTGAAGCTCACTTCTGATCTTGAGGAGGACCAGAGTCTCTCTCCAAAGGAGCGCCTTCAAAAGGTGGAAGAAAAGAAGCAGGAGAACCAAGCTAAGGTAACAAAAAGTCATTGTTAAAAAATAATAAATTCTTGAGATTTTACTGTACATTCAAGTTTGTTGACTCTGTGTTAGAGTTCATTTTCCACCCACATCTCATACATAATCATACAACTCTTTATTAGATTTTATCATATGTGTATGTTGTGATAGATGTTGTTTGATTTTAATGCTTTTAATGGGATGGGCTACGTCTTTAGTCTTAATATTTGTAATTGTGAGTAACAGTGCAATTCAGAACCCCTGGGTTCTGTAAAACTGTTTTACAGTGACATCAATAAACCAGTCTATATCAGTTGTTCTTCCTTGTTTGATTTTACATCAGGTGTAAGAAAAAGGCCCTCTCAGTCTCTGAACATAAGATAGTATTAAATTTTTAGATTTTTGAATCTTACTGATTCAAGTTTTCTACCCAGGATGACTAATCTTCACAAACGTCTCAATTAACATACTATGTAATAATTATTGTTCACCAAAGATACGTCATATATGTTGACTCAGGATCATGTAACCCCTAAAGACTTGCAAACTTTCACACATTAACTGACCACAATACCCTGACTATATGTACTGTACTACTGTATATCAGCCACATACCTTAACTTAACCTTCTGCCTCCTCAAGTAGCATTTAGTTCTTTTTGTTTAGTTCTTTTTACACAATACTTTATGTATCTAGAATAATCATCATGTTATTCTAATGTCCATGACCAATTCCGCAGTTCTGTTAGTAATGTCTTGTCAGCAGGGCAAGTCCTTTGCAATAGCCACAGGCTAGTTGGGCTGCCCTGGCTGTGAGGGTTGAACAGCCAATCCAGTAAATAAATACGTTTTTGGCACCAAATTCGTATTGGTTACAGGGCTAAGCAGCATGGGAAGGTTCATGGTTGGTCAAGCTAAACAACTTTTTCTTAAATAGAATGTCAATACATAAGCTACAATGTCATGTATTGCATCAGTCATATTTTTATCTCATGTTTACATAAAGAATAATCTGAGAGAGAGTAACTCATCATGATGTCTTGTTGGCTCCTTACAGAGAGGAAGATTTGTCCAGGAAGGCCGCCAGGTCCTGGAGGGTCTGTACAACGCCATCATCAGCGCCACGAGGCCAGGAGCCCCGGCGGTCACCATCAAGAGAGGCGGCATCACGCTGCGTGCCCAGAGGATCTGGGGCGACCAGTTTGGAGGCCAGGTCGTGCAGACGGAGGATGGGAGCTTCCAACTTCCATCTAAAACAGCGCTTTTCGCGGACTATACGCCGCACAACGTCGCTATGAAGGTACGTGTCATGTCATGTCCTCAGGTCATCAATGATCCTTGTCTTTCCTCTCATGTGTGATGATGTCAACAGAACAGTAATTCAGTAATTCTCATCATTGTTCAGAACAAACTTTTTTTTTTGCCATTTGACTGTAATTATTCACGGGACTGACTGAGTGAGTGAGTGATCGATGAGTGAGTGAGTGAGTGAGTGAGTGAGTGAGTGAGTGAGTGAGTGAGTGATTGTGTGAGTGAGAGTGAGTGTGTGAGTGAGAGTGAGTGAGTGATTGAGTGAGTGAGTGAGTGAGTGATTGTGTGAGTGTGAGAGTGAGTTTGTGAGTGAGTGATTGTGTGAGTGAGTGAGTGAGAGTGAGTGAGTGATTGAGTGAGTGAGTGGGTGATTGTGTGAGTGAGAGTGAGTGTGTGAGTGAGTGAGTGAGTGATACATTTTTCTTAGAATGTGCAAAAAAGTTCTATTTTACAATAGATACTATGCATTTACTCCTACATGTATCATGTTAAACCTTGCTTTGTGTATTTGGATGCTCTTGGAAATCAGTGTAGCTTGACTGAAAGGACTTAAGTAGACTCAATTCTGTACTAAGTCTTAGTCTAGATCAGAATAATAACATTATCCTTTGAGGAAACATTCTAGAATCCCATTGAAAAAACATTGAGTCAGACTCAATCTGAAAATCACCAGATCTTTTACATAACATTTTACAATCCTCATTTAATCATTGCAGAGGAATTTTCCCTTTACAGGTTACCCCACTGTTTAATATCATTTTTCTTTTTGGTGGTTAAATTGAACGTGAAGTACAGAAATTTATTGGACAATTTTATTTTGTTGTGTTCCAGTTGACACAGTTTCAACAGAACCCTTTTACCTGGGGGCGTGGGGAGTACCAACCACATTCGTCTGTCATGGAACTGTCACTCCAACAGAACAACTTCCCCGTGGCCTTCAACAACCTAACTGAACACTTCAACATCACCATTCCGGCCAAATCCGGAAACAAACCAGCGACAACAACTGTCACCATCCCTGCCCAAGGAAACGGAAGTTCCAGCTACCATTTGCTGAACCTCACCAACGCCGCAGAAGGCTTCCTGGTCACAATCACCCCGCTGAACACCAGCGTGGTTTACCGTGTGTCGGGCAGGTACGGCGGCCGCCCTGGTGACCAAAACTACAACATGTCCACAGAGACGTACATCCTACCCGAGGAGTGTGCCTTGATGAAAACTCTGAGTGGCGAGGAAGACACAGAGAAGACAGAGGCAAGAATGTTCGTCTCGGGAGAGGATGGTCCTGTGGATTACAACATCAAGGTCCAAATAGTTGGTGAGTAGTTTTCAAACACAAACATGCTTGACAGAAGTAGAAGGTGAATGTGTGTGCCAGATTAAGTGGAATTGTCTTGTCCATAATGATATCACTAAACTATGTCTGGTAGTATCTTTTCTTTTGTTGTGAAGGAATGTTTGAAGAGGTTTAAAATGTTGGGATGTTTCAATCTCAGGGCTGGAAATACTGGGTGCATGTGCACCTTAGTGCACCCAAATTTGGGGCTGTGCACCCAATTTTTTCTTGTATTCTTGTAGGTAATACGTAAAGATGTTAAATGTATAGTTATATACAGAATATTCTTGATAATAATATTCAAGTATCAGAAAAATGATCAAGACATTTGTAGTACTTTTGTTTTGTGCACCCAATTTGGCTGGCTGCACCTGTGCACCTATTCCAAAAAATGAATTAATTTCAAGCCCTGAATGATATTTAAATTAAACTTTCAATTAATTATACTAATAGTACAGTACTGTATATATATAGTAGAAAGTTGCCTTATGTTGATGGCCCAGTTTGCAATGTTGTGATGTCTGCTTGCATATCTAGAATCTTTATCTAGAATCTCCATGTTCTGTTTGTAAGTAAAATACATGTACATTGTGTAACTTTACAAGGAAACAACATGTTGTATTTTTTACACTCCTCATGTCTGTTATAAACGTCCCTTTTGTCAGGACCAGTGACGGAGTGTGGCAGTGAGAAAAGAACCGACGTGAAGAAGCCACACGCCGCTGACTTCTACGCCTACAAGATGGAGTGGGCCCGTTTGGGCTGTGTCTTCTGGAGCGAGACACAGGAAGCCTGGAGAACGGACGGCTGCTCGGTGGGTACAGTCTCTCCTTGTTTTGGGACAACTTTGTTCTTAGTATTCATGATTGTTAGAATAATAGAATTATTATGCTAAATACTTCATTACCACTAGGATCAAAATATGTATTCATTTGTGATTGTGACCTCTCTCAATGCAGAAATAATTAAATGCATATTACACACAATTGCATTGTTTTTAGAAAAGATACTGAATCCATGACTAACCTGATTGTAACAAGATATTACATTTAGTAAGTACTAGGCTGTTTACAATTCCTTGCTTCTGAGTGGTGTGGAAAACAGCAAAATGTTTGGCTACATGTATGTGGATTGTCCTTCTAGTCCATGGCCTACACCCATTTTTGATCAATCGTATCTAAAGCTGAAAACATCCATCAATAATAAATAATCTTTACTCCACTACTTTCCTGATGATTACCATACTGTTAAGTTGGTTAATGACAGATAAATGAAGATAACATGATTTTCTAGCTAAGATTGCAGCTATAGGTTATATGGTTTTCCAAATCATGTCAAAGGACCCATGCATGTTTGGACTTTACTAAAATGTGATCTTAACAACATGTCTCTTTACTGCTTTCTACAGATAAGCAATCAGTCCACCATTAACAGCACTATCTGTCACTGCAACCATCTGACAGCCTTCGGGACTGACTTCGCCACACCGCCGAACACCATCGTGTTCAAGGCGTTGAACTTCAGGGATCTTGCAGACAACGGCTCCGTTGTGGCGACCATCATTGCGGGGCTCTGTCTCTTCTCGTTCGCATCAGTCGCGATCAAGATTGCTGAGCGTAGAGGAAAAGGGAAGGTAAGTGGGCGTCACCAGTCACCCATATCAGGCCAACAGAAGTGGCCATGTGTAAAGTCAAGTCTTTATTCTGTGGACTAATGTTATTTCTAATGGATTTTCTGGTACATTTTTGACAATCAGCACTTCATGTTTAATATCTATCACTGTGACAGTGACTGTAGTTTGGTAGTGAAAGCCAGGCCTGGCCAACTAGCAACTGGCTATCACAAAGGCTTTAAAACCTGCCCTGCATGTGTATGTAATATGGTTTAAAAAATTTAAATATTTAGCATACTTGCAATGTATCTGCATTACCTTATGGTAGTTTTTTTATTCTTCAGTCAATCTACTGTGAGAGGTCAAGGTCAGTATGTACATGTATGTGAATATTCATTCATGTTCTATCTCTTTGTACATTGCTACAGTTAAGTGGAGCTGTAAGGTTGGACAACCTTCAGGACAACTTCCTGTACCGCCTACTCATCTGGACAGGTGGAGCTAGGCATGCTGGGACAGAGTCTACCGTTGCCTTCAAGCTGTTCGGAGATGCAGCAAACTCTGATGTGAGACTGGTCCACATCACAGAGAAGGTTAGGCCATCAAATTTGGCACTGATCACTCCTATTGCCATTTCATCACCCAACTTTCCTCTGCAGATGTTTTAACTCACAGCATGTCCTAACAGGTGGAATTTTTGTTGCTGTTCAGGTTTTCACCCGAACCAGCCAGGTGACCCTGACCTTCAGCACAGCAGAACAGCTGGGTAAGGTGGAGCTGCTGCAGCTCATGCACGACAACAGTGGGGAGGGGAGCCGCGCATCGTGGCAAGTGGACCGAGCAGCTGTTCAGGATCTCACCACGGGCAAACTGTGAGTCCAGCCAAGCGCTGTCTACTTCATCCAATCATAATCATGGGAGGGTTGTTCAATAAAGATTTCACCTGAACAATTTCCAGGTGTTGTAGAGGCTAAAATTGTCATGTGCAATAAATAATACTTGTCTCTTATTAATTAGGTCTCTTTACTATGAACTTCTTGTTTCCTTGTTACATCAACAATATGATTTTGGAACAGCTTGAATGTTGTTTGAAACATGTTGTTAAAAGTGTTGTTTTTACACACAATAGAACTTTCACTGTACCTAAAATATTAACATTGTTTGAAACCAAACTTTTGAATGTCTTGATTTAGCAGAAGGAAGCTGTTGACAATTACATGTATTCAGCCTCCATTTACACTTAACTTTCACAACAAAGAGCTGTGTTTCTATTTTATTAACCAAACAGTTAACTGAGTGATATTTCTTTTTCCTTTCATGTACTGCAGGTTCTATTTCTTCTGCGACGAGTGGCTGGCAGCCGACCGCGGGGACGGGCAGGTCGTGAAGACCTTTCCTGTCGCCTCTGAGGAGGACCTGCGATCCTTCGGGTTCCTGTTCCCGGCAAGTCTGCGCCATAACCTGGCAGAGGAACACCTAGTTCTGTCTGTTGCCTTCAGGCCTGAAGGTATCATCAAGTTTGCTTTTTCAAGTTTACTAGTAGACTATAGCACAAGATGTGTATGTCTAAGATTTCCCTCATGCTAGTAATTCTATTTTTAATTAGAATTGTCTCTTGCTGGCTGCATTTGATCCAGAGTGTTGCTTTCATTTATTATCATTAAAACTTGTCTTGATAAGAATGTCCCCATTATGTTTCCTCTACAGGTAGCACATTCACCCGCATCGAGAGGCTTGGCTGCTGCCTGAGTTTCTTCGCTGCGTCCATGGTGTCCAGCGCCATGTGGCTGAGGGATGAAGTAGAAACCGAGATCGTGCAGGGCCTCATCGTGGGGCCGTTCTCCTTCACCTTGAACGAAGTCTACACGGGGTTCATGGCCAGCATCACCTGCCTTCCCGTGGTAACAGCCATAGTGCTGCTGTTCCAGTACAGCCGGCCGAGTAGCAAGGACGACCGCCGGGTCAGAGACGTGGAGATGGGCGGCCCACCCACCCAGAGGGGTCCAGCCAAGCGCCTGCCACACGGGTGCAGGTACGTGGCCTGGGTGCTGGCGATGCTGTCCTTCCTGGGGTCGGCTGTCTTCACCACGCTGTTCAGCATGCAGTGGGGCAGGGACAAGACCAACAAGTGGCTGTCTGCGTTCTTCATCACCTTTCTGGCAGACGTCTTCCTTATGCAACCAGGGAAGGTAAGGACTTGTCTACTAGCAGGTGATTATAGCTTTAACAATATCATGATTATTATCAGTTTCTTTCAGGTGTGATATTTTACTCTTATTGTTAAACACCTTAAATGCCACCTGCCAGCCCCATTCAAGCTAGGATATAATTATTACTCATTAATCATATTATCATGATTTACATGTTTGTTGTAGTTGGCATTTACAATGTATTTACTGAGAATAGTAGACATGTATATCGTGGTAAACACATTGAAGTGCGCATGCCACCTGCCAATAGCATTCAAGCACAGCGTAGTTGTATGAGGTATTTTGTCACCAAGACAAACATTTGTTTTCTTTAGCTTAAGTTTAAAACTTGGCTTACTTAATACATGCTGAATACAAGCCACATCGTATAGGATGATATCACCATCTTAATCGTTCAGAAATTCTAACAGCTTTTATCTTTACAGATATTTCTTCTTGCCATCTTCACTTCATCCCTTCGCAAGACACGAGCCGTCAAGAAGATTTTTGAAGAGAAATGGAGCCACGTTTGGATCGAAGCCAATGCTGTGTCAGGCTGCAACTGTAAGTTTGTAACATCAAGTACTAACTTAATTCCACCAGGTCACAAAATATCAATGACTTATTAGATATATTATCCACCACCCTGAGAAAATGCATCTAAACACAGCATCACCCAGTATATTAATACACTCCAGGACCTGTATACTACTAAGTACTTGTATCTAAACCATGCATACTTGGGTGGTGCGGCACTATAATGTAACTATATACTAGATAGAGATCTCTCAAAAACATTGTTTTCAAAGTGGCTGATATATAATATATATCCTGGCAGATGAATGTTATTAGGGGTTACATCTGTAGAAACACAATGATTATAATTTATTATACATGTATATACCTGTCCATGATGATAATTTTTTGAAGATGAAGTAAGCTGACAATTTGAAAACTATAATACAGGATATTATTTATTTATTTCTGGTTTGTTATGATTGTGAAAGAAAGCCATTTTGCACATTGTGAGTGTGGTCCTGTTTGGCAATTGATCTAAAATAAAATATTTCTTCTTGCTTCCATTTGTAGTTTTGTTTCCACTTTTCTAACAAATACAGACCATACTGACATTTATATTTTTCTTGCTTACTACAGGGAAGGCATTTCGCACAAGGAGGAAGATGGAGCAACTTTCGATGACGTCCCTTATCAACATCAAACAAGCAAGGAAGAAGCAGCGCAGGGACAGGAGGAATGGCGAAATCCTTCGGGACATCATGGTGTCTTGCTTTTACGTGCTGCTTGTCCTCAGCATCACCAACGAACACCATAACACCACCCATGCCTTCTATCAGACACAGAGCGCAACCAACACCTTTGTGCAGTCCTTGGACGAGGTAAGATCATTACAGAGCCTTAACATTGTACATTGGTGTCTGATCACTAAATCATTGCATTGGTCAGATTATCCTTTCAAGCCAGTGGAAACCCTTTAGCCATGTTGACACAAGTAAAAACAAAATTATTCATACCAAAATGAAGAAATGGTGTGAATGTCTAATAATGTAGTTAGACAATATATGGCAACTTTTGCTAATGCATGCATAAAGTACTAATCTGAATTTTTAACAAACACTGAAAAGATAAAGAAATGATTTTTTATCAAATGTTTTTAACATACTTCATCAGTAGATCAATGAAGAATATTTATTGTATTATTTTTACTTTTCACAGTCAATAAAGGGTGGGAATAACTTTTCTGTTACCTGTATCCTTGAGATGAGAATTAGAACATTTTGTGTACAATTTAAACTTATAATGCGGACTGTACACTAGACAATTGTTATTTTTGTATACTAAGATAACAAGACTTTATTTCTCCACCTGTCAGGTAAATGATGCTGATGCCTTCAAACTTGTAAACTTGCTGTTTTTCTCTTGTTTGAAAACAATTAACAATGGGATTTGAGCCATTTTGATCTAATAGTTTTCTTTTCTCCGCAGGTAAATGATGCTGATGACTTCAAACTTGTTAACTTGCTGTTTTTCTCTTGTTTGAAAACATAACAATGGGATTTGGGCCATTTTGATCTAACAGTTTTCTTTTCTCCACAGGTAAATGATGCTGATGACTTCAAACTTGTAAACGTGCTGTTTTTCTCTTGTTTGAAAACATAACAATGGGATTTGGGCCATTTTGATCTAACAGTTTTCTTTTCTCCGCAGGTAAATGATGCTGATGACTTCAAACTTGTAAACTTGCTGTTTTTCTCTTGTTTGAAAATATAACAATGGGATTTGAGCCATTTTGATCTAACAGTTTTCTTTTCTCCGCAGGTAAATGATGCTGATGACTTCAAACTTGTAAACTTGCTGTTTTTCTCTTGTTTGAAAACATGACAATGGGATTTGGGCCATTTTGATCTAACAGTTTTCTTTTCTCCGCAGGTAAATGATGCTGATGACTTCAAACTTGTAAACTTGCTGTTTTTCTCTTGTTTGAAAACATAACAATGGGATTTGGGCCATTTTGATCTAACAGACTGAAATAACCAGTTTTCTTTTCTCCACAGGTAAATGATGCTGATACCTTCTGGTCCTGGCTGAACGGGACCGCTCTGGAGAACTTCTACCCAGAGACTTCCTACAATGACAACAAGCTTCGCTGGCAGGAGAAGGGCTTCACAGCAGACATGCAGTCGGTCCTGGTCGCCCCGCCTAGCATGATCCAAGCCCGAGTAAAGCCAGGTGGGTGGAACCACATGGAACATTTACTGTGGGCTCACATGGCAGGTCACAGATGTAATTCTACATGCAGTATTACCATATACATGTACAAGAGGAAACATTTAGTAGTAAAAAATAACATTTGAGAAATCTCAAGGATCATTATGATCTAAAGTTAAGAGCATGCCAAAATACCAAACAGTAAACTACTATTTGAGACTAACTATTCCTATCCATCTCCTGCCATCCCAGGGCTGTGCACTTTGCCAGCAGCAATGCAGCAGTCGTTTGACGAATGTTCATCAGGGTACGATGAACACACCAAGGAGACCGGAGCGTTCCGAAAGGGTTGGGAAAGGGTCATGAATACATCAGCGATGGAGTCAGAAGCCCCTGGATGGACCTACCTCCACGGTGGATACACCAGTCTCCCCATCTACGGTGTGACAACGCAGTACTGGGGAGACGGCTTCGGGCTGAACCTGGGAAAATCTGCAGACGAGATGCGCAGCATCCTGGCAGAGCTGAAGGCCAACCGTTGGATCGACAAGCGGACGAGGGCCATCTTCTTGGAAGCGTTGCTCTACAACGGGAACCTGGATCTGTTCACATCGGTGACGATGGTGTTTGAATTCTCCGAGACGGCCGGAGTTTTCTCCCATCATCGCGTGCAGGCCTTCCGACTTCACCAACGGCCGGGGACGATCGGGTACATCTACGTCCTGCTGGAAATCACTTACGTCATCGTTCTCCTCTACACACTGTGGAAAGAGATGAAAACTGCACGCGCAGCCGGCTTGGCCTACCTGAGGCAGCTATGGAAGGTTCTGGAAATCTTCAATTTCTTCTTGGCATTCACTGTCATCGCCTTGTACGGCTTCAAGAGAAGCTACAGCTCCATGGCTCTGGCAGCGATCAATGCTGGGAAAGGTGTGTTTCATATTTATGCATACTTATTGCATTTAAACTTCACTTTAACATGCTCATTCAATGTTGGGAAACATGTAATATTCTCAGACTGATTTGAAGGTAAATATGTAGCATTGTACTAATTATAATTATGCATTTCTTCTTGTAAAGATGAAGTCCACCATTTCCGATCTGCGGTGAACGTGAGCCTGGTTTACGGCTGGTTCCTGGCCTTCCTGACGTTTGTCAACATGATGAAGCTCCTCCAGCTGCTGAGGTTCAACCCATTCCTCGCCAAGCTGATGTCCATGATCCGAGGGATGTCGGTGCAGTTCGCTTCCTTCACCGTCTACCTCTTCCTCGCCATGTCAGCATTCGGCGTCTACGGTTATCTCAAGTTCGGCCTTATTGTGAAGGAGTACAGGTAAGGAAACATAGATCCTACCGTATGTCTGCCAAAACAAAGTATTTGAGGCTGCAAAAATTGGATGATGTCATAACAAAACTAGTTTTCATACTCCAATAAGGTTACAGAACTTGTGACTGCTTGAAAGTTATAATACAGGTCAGTTCATAATTATAATGATTTGTTGTTGTTTTTTTCAGCACCATCAGCAAGTCCTTCTCCACCCTGTTCCAAATGACTCTTGGAAACTTCTACTACTACGAGCTGCGGGAGGCATCCCCCATCTCCGGCCCCATCTTCTTCATCACTTTCACTTGCATAATCTTCCTGGTGCTGATGAACATCGCCATGGCGATCATCGACAGCGCCCTTCCCGATGTGCGGAACCACATCATGTCTGAGGATGACCAGTACTTCATCCAGGGGTTGTGGGAACGCTTCACGGCCTTCTTCGGGTTCTGGAAGGTGCCAGTCACAGGTAGCGTAGTCCTTGGTTTAACAGGTGGACAGTTCAACTAACTGAGAATTCTTTCATTCCTCCCTACGTATTTGTAAACTCTGTCTACTTTGCAAAACATTTTGTACAAGATGTGGAACTGAGAAATGAACCCAGGATCTTTGCTCCATCACTTGGTGTAATGCACATACAACAGGATGGGCATCAGTAAGGACCAAAGATAGTTCCTGTACTGTCTATAGAACCACCCTCCCTGAATCCCTTTGTTTCCTCTTCCCCACCTGTGCTTTACTTTTTACTTTCTTTACTCAAAACAATCGTTTCCCCTTAATTTATATGTAGTGTAAGATAAACATAATACTATGCTCTATATCTAATTGCATCATGTCATAATATGAAAGTAATTGTCATCATACATATTTCTCAGCTGGAGGGAGGCCTTGGATGTTTTTTCTTATCAGCATTGTTTTAAAATGATTTCTGTTATGTGTGAATAAAGAAAACTGACTGAAGCATTTCTCTTGACTCAGAAAACAACTCCTTTGACACTCTTCATGACAGCCTGGTCGAGGTGGAGATTAAAGTGGAGAAACTGTGGCTGCAGAGGCAGTTTCTCTTCAACCTCAAGTAAGTACAAAAATGGTACTTCAGCATGATCTATGCACTTTAATATTCCTGGCACAGTAACTAAAATAGCTTTAAACTTTATAGATATTTGTTGAACAGTAACATTCAATACACAAGATTTTAGAAACTTGAACAGTTGAAATAGGCTTGAAACTTGATACTCAATGATAGTGATATTTGTTGAAGGTAAACACTGTACAAACTTCTCTCCACCTGTATCCTCACAGGATGAAGGACGCAGACCTCCCCGCAGAGCCTGAGTTTGTTCCGACTGTCAAAGATGTTCCCGATGCTACAGCAGTGGAACTTCATGTCCCCAAAGGAGGCTGCCGCATCATCGCGGTCCGTCCTGCCTCCCCAAACAGCCGCGCAGGCGACAGCAGTCAAGCGATCTGCTCCGACAGCAAGGCGCCAGTGGTGGTGGTGGCATCCGGGTCTCTGCCAAAAGAGGACACCCAGGAAAGCCACCAAACCAAGCAAGCCATGAAAATAATGTCCATCCTATCCAAGGGGGATGAAAGTGGCAAGAAGTTGACCAAGAGAGTCCAAATTGATCTGAACCTGAATCGTGTTTTTCGCTATAGGTATTATTACTATAGGGAGAGTGGAGTGGGGAGGCCAATTGTCAACTTGAGCGCTGGTGACAAGGCGGTTCTGACAAACAACGAGATGCTGACAGACGACCTCATCCAGGCTGCCCAGAGGCTGCTCCACCACCAGTACCCGGCACTCCAAGGCCTGGAAGACCCTACAGTTGGTCTCTGCGAGGACGGGTTTGCCAGGATGACAGGAAAGGGGCTACAAATCCACCACAACAGAAGAGAGCACTGGGTTCTGTCGTCTTACACAGACGGACAGGTGCGCCTGTATGACAGCATTGGCGGCGACATGACCACATATCTGCAGGTCCAGCTTTACCAGACCTACGCCGCGTTTGCCGACCAAGAGAGGAACGTCCTGACCATCATCCTACCAGAGGTACAGCGTCAGACGAACGTCGTTGATTGTGGGCTGTTTGCCATCGCCTGGGCAGTGGACATCGCACAGGGGCGAGACGTGAGCAGCATTGCGTATGACAACAGGGTGATGAGGAGCCATTTGAAGAAGTGCTTGGAACAAGGGAGGCTCACACAGTTTCCTCATCTGACCAGCCAGAGGAAGAAAGTCGGTTTCACCAGGGTCAGCAGAATCTCGCTGGTTTGCTGCTGCAAGCAGGAGGAGGGTCTGGGAAGGATTGAGGCATGCGGGGCGATGCCAGAGGATCTTTCACGTCAGCTGCCTGCCAGTCAACCCTCCCAGTGATGGCACATGGGAATGTGGAGACTGCACCGTGTAAAGTACAAAATGCACCATAAAAACTACCTAACAAATGGAGCCAAGAGTAAACTGTATTTTGTTTCCTTGCAGAAGGAAAAAAAACAATGATGGAAACATGTCGTGGTTGTCTTTGGAATTGTGACAAAAATGTGTAATATGTGACACTGTTTAAAACATTTGTAAATAGCAAGAATTTTCAGGACTTTGAAAGCATTTTTAAAAAATGACGGAAATAATACTGTCATGGCCCGGACAAAGGAACATTGACAATTGATGCAGGATCACAGACAATGGACAATGGATACATCACTAAATGTGATCACACCACAATTATTGATATTTATGTTTTCCTTCTGCGAATTGTTATGCCTTATGGCTTCATCACACCACAAAGTTTACTCATAAGACTTGCCTTGTAGTAAATAATATCCTGGCTTTGAAGTACATTGTCAGGAACTTTGTTGTCAGTACATTGCACAGATACTGGAATGCTTTGATAATGTTATCTTACAGTATCATGTTATGGGTGTGTTACTACTTGTTACAATTAATGTGTAATATGTGACACTGTTTAAAACATTTGTAAATAGCAAGAATTTTCAGGACTTTGAAAGCATTTAAAATTACGGAAAGAATACTGTCATGGCTTGGCTAAAGGAACATTGGCAATGGATGCAGGGTCACAGACAATGGATACATCACTAAATATTCACTGTTGTAACTTAGCCATGACTTAATAACAAAGAACATGTCACTTGTGTCACTTTCATCATCATCATCTTCGCCACATTTAGTGCTTAGCACTGAGGCGAGCCGTCATTTTTAATAGTGTTTTATTAGGGTTTGATTACTACAAAAACAACTGCTTGTAAAATATTGCTTGTGCTTTATTTCTGTACCACCTTGTCCAGCGATTGTATCTGATGTACATTAGAAAAGCTGATGGAAACAGGAGATGTGTGCTTATGTCCACAGGGAAAAGAAGGTCCCTGTGAGGAAGCTTTTTGTAAATAGAGCTGTAGCATGTCTTTGATTGATAATGAAAAAAAATGTAGCAAACAGGAAACTATCACTAAGATTTTACATGTAGCATGTCTTTGAAAATGAGAAAAAAAATGTAGCAAGCATGTAGGAAACTATCCCTAAGATTTTACATGTAGCTTGTCTTTGATTGAAAATGAAAAAAAAAAATGTAGCAAACAATTAGGAAACTATCACTGAGATTTTGCAATGTGGAATGGACTTTACAAGCAAATAACACCCACCAAAACAGCAACAAATTTCCAGCTTGTTGCCTTTAGCAAGGACATTACAGTATAATGTCCTTGCTTTTAGTATTATGCCAATATGTGAAAAAGTCCAAGATTATGCCTTTGTATGAGGATGAATAATTGGCCATTCCACATTTTGCTAACAGGACTTTGTTGTAACATTTTAAAAGTAGGTTTAGAATTACTTTACCAGGGCTGGAAATAGAAACTCCAAATTCGAATACATAATTATTTCAAACTGTATGTAAGGCCACACCAATTTGATTTTTTCAGAAAAAATATGAAGCGACAGGGCGAAAAAAGAAAAAAAAAACAGACCTAGGCATCCTATGATACCCAAATTCTATGGTAGGAGCCATGAGGTTAACATACCAGGCTGGTTTGTAATTCAAACAATGAATTTCAAACTTTTTATCAAACCCTTGCATTGATAGATGGAAAAACTGCAACAACTTTGAAGAGATTGACTTCCTTCAAATGTTGGCGCCAAAATATGAGCATTTTTGGAGTTGATTCAGAGGCTAAAATATATATATATTTTTTTTGGAAATCAGAGAAATGAAGCGGGCGAATCTGTGAATCAACAACCTAAATTGGTGTGGCCCAAGGAAAAATACAGGCTACATTTTGTACATACAAATAAAACTTAATGCATCATAGTGTATCAATACGGCCGACCAATGATGATTGATGTGTTCATCATTAGTCATGAAGCAAATCAGAAAAAAATGAAGCAAATCAGAAAAAAATGAAGGGGGCAAATTCGTGAACCAACAAATTAAATTGTTGTGGCCTAAGAAAAAAAAACATTATTCTCTAAGTGAAAAAAAGCAACTAAATGCTTCTTGCCTATTGTTAAAAGGCTTTTATTTCTAAGAATATGTAAGGTAAAAAAAAATGTGTATTTCCAGTCCTGAATATGCATGCTGTTGTTGCCAATCGCCTTGTGCATGGAGCAAAGTTGAGCATTACAAAAAAATCAGCAATTTGAAACCTAAAATAACTGACAGGCTACAAAGAAAATTTAATGCATCATTATATCAAAATATGGCCGACCAATGATGATGATGTGTTCATCATTGGTCATGGAGCAAGTTAAAATTCTTATATAAGTGGTGATGGCATCATTTTCCACAATTATTATTTATAATGAAATGTCAAATTGTTCGACAAATGTTATTATCCTAACACATTTTCCACACACGAGTTTGAAATATACAGAAAATAAGAAAAAAGGATCATGTTGAAACTTTCCAATTGACCTTTGAATGTTTGTGTTTCTACAATGTAGAATCAACCCAATAGTAGCCACATTTGTATCCAAAATATTGATTTGAATAAAGATTGATTCATTTGCTGATTCCGCGTGTCTTTTATTAATGTAAGGAAGCATTTAGAGAGTTAAGACTGTTGAACAAAATTGTTAAAAAAGTTAAGTTTAAAAACAGAAAGAAACCTGGAAACTAAGAAGAACTATATTATCCAACTCCATGTGTTAACGTTAGGTGTTTGAAGTCATGACTATGACATGAAATACACAGAGCTAACTCAGCCAGGCATGACGCGCTGACAATTAGTTATAACAGATTGAAATACCACCTGCATTATGCAGATTAAAACTGGAGCTTCATAATGACTTCTACACTGATGACTTTTCAAGATAAAGTTAGCACTGTGCAGGTAAAACTTTCACTGGGCCATGTACTGGATTTATAATATACTAGTATAGTAGTACAAATGTAGTAGTATAGATGTGTGGGGAGTTTCATTTTGCACGAAAATGAAACCTACAGTGGGCCTCACTGGAAGACAAAAGAACGATGTCCAGACTATGTATGATGTACAAAATGACTAATAAACTGGTGGACGTCCCAATTACTAAGTACCTGATACCAGCCCAGAAGAGAACAAGAAATAGCCATGCCTTCAAGTACCAGAGGGATAACTTATCAACCAAGGATTGAGGTGTTCAAGAATTCATTCTTTCCTAGAACTATCGCAGAGTGGAACTCACTGTCACCAAGTACAGTAGGGGCATTGTCAATAGATAGCTTTAAAAAATGTCTAGAGTTAGAAGTTCAAGGGTTAGGTGTAACAAGTCGATCAGTGTAATATAGCCAGCTGCCGCCGCGCCGCGTGCCTGCGAAGCTGGTGTGTTACGCCGAAAGGCAGTTATACTGGCTATACAGATACAGACTGTTACCACATATAAGAAATAATGGCACTCACACTCACGGTGGTTTCTTCACAGTTTTTAGTACGATCCACACTTCCCAAAGTCTGAGTGGTGCAGGTTATTGTTAATGTTACCTGTCTCAGTGCAGGTATGCAGAAAAGACATTATTTCGAGCCCTGCATTTGAACGGTTAGCAGTAACAACACACATTTGAGTACAGTATAATCACATACAGCACTAGCCGTGGCGACTCGGTAAGCCTTTTAGTATCATGCATTATACAGGCTACATGTATAAGAGGTTAACCAAGTCGCTCCATTGCTTGGGGAGAGCCCTGCTGAATCTTTTACACAGCTTTTTCCGAATCTCCTGCAATCGTCTCTAAAGTCTAAACCCCCTGCAGTCTTCCTTACACCTGCTGCAGCCCTCTCTGACCCCACTGTCCGGTTTATCGTCTGTTGTTCCTCGTCTTCCAAGGGTTAGACGTGCTTGCACAATGCAACAGTTACTGGGGCTTGATGGCAGCCCGCCACTTGCCTCTGTCCTGTGGGTTGATCTTGCTTTTAGAAGTTAGAAGTTTAGAAGTTCTGTAAAGCTGCTGCAGTTTTCTCTGAATCTCCTGCAGTTTTCTCTGAATGTCCTATAAATGTCTCTAAAGTTTAAACCTGCTGCAGCCTGCGATGGTCGACCTTCTCCAGCTGCACGATGGGTTTGAGCTGCTCGGCGAACAGTTTCATGGTGTCTGCGACCTCGTCCTGACCCGATGGCGAGACCACGCTCAGCTCCACCAGATGCGACAGCGACAGCGGCTCCAGGTTCTCCGTGTTCCCTGATGGCAGGAGTGAATGAATTAATGAATGGATGAACGAATGGATGGATGGATGAATGGACGGACGGACGGACGGATGAATGAATGAATGAATGAATGGACGGATGAATGAATGAATGAATGAATGAATGAATGAATGAATGAATGAATGAATGAATGAATGAATGAATGAATGAATGAATGAATGAATGTAAGACTCAGGGGTCAAAATTCATTTTTGGGAATAGGAAGTTTTTTACGTATTCAGATGCAAGTTGTTTGCAACCGCTAACAGTAATGCACAAGATTGCAAAATTAAAAAAAACAAAACAACTAGGAACTTAAGGTAACATTTGCAAAGCAAATACATAATGTTTACCTTCGCATATAGTCTGCTCTGTTAATTCTTACTCAAACACATTCACATATACATGTATTGTGACAGGAGTCTAAATCCCTCCTACTAAGCTGTGTGTTACGCCGAAAGGCGGTTATACCGGCTATACAAATACAGATACTATAAAATTGCAACATGATATAACCCAACACCAATTACCATGGTGAGAGACAGCCTGGTCATTGACCAGATCAGATGTCACTGTTTGGAATGAAAGGAAGAAGAGGAAACTCAGCAAAAACAATATGTTTTTCTTCGGCAAGGCCACAGCAAGTAGTTTTTATGGATGACATCAGCGCCCGCATTACTTCTCGCCTGATTTTGAAAAAAAAACACAAGAAATTTTGTTGCCTTCTGACAGCGGTCAACCTGCCAAAAATGGGGGAAAGATATCTGTTGCCAAGGTGGATGGCAGATAACTATTAAGTGAGGCTCTGATTTAATGTTTTGTTTCTTACTTTGATACAGTGATATGTGATGCTGCCTGTGTACATGTGATGTTCCCACTGAATCAAAACTAGGTGTACAATGATTGGGTCAAAATTTGAAAATGTAGGAACCTTGTTTTTTTTTGGCTCTTCTTGTTTTTTTTTTTCGCCCGCTCACATTAGACTTGGAGTCTGCGGAGGATGTCATCCATAAAATTTACTTGCTGTGGCCTAAACATAAAAATGGAGCACATTACCCGGGACGGTGAGGCGGAATATTTTGGAGACGGTGACTTTGATGCAGCCTTTGGTGAAGAGGAACCCCTTCACCACACACTCGTGGTCCAGCCGGAACCCCATGTCAGTCAGGAACGTTGTCACGTTGTCTGACGTCGCCACGTCGATGCAGGTACGAACCAGCGTGCTCCGACTTTTGTCACCTGGGGTTTAAAACATGGGAAGTACGACTTAAAACTTAAAAATCATCAGGTGGATGTTAACCTTATATACATGAGTACGGTCTTATATGAGACATTCCACCAAAGTTCTATGCACAATACATTACAGGTTTTGCACAGTACGTTCTGCTGATGTGCTGTCCTACAGAAGTGTGTCTCACCTATCCCTGCCTTATACATGCCTACAGAAGCTGGAGTGTTACACAGAGAGGAGGTTATAGTATAACTTATACCGGCTATACAGACAGTCCTACAGAAGCTGGAGTGTTACACAGACAGGAGGTTATAGTATAACTTATACCGGCTATACAGAAGCTGGAGTGTTACACAGAGAGGAGGTTATAGTATAACTTATACCGGCTATACAGACAGTCCTACAGAAGCTGGAGTCTTACACAGAGAGGAGGTTATAGTATAACTTATACCGGCTATACAGACAGCCCTACAGAAGCTGGAGTGTTACACAGAGAGGAGGTTATAGTATAACTTATACCGGCTATACAGAAGCTGGGGTCTTACACAGACAGGAGGTTATAGTATAACTTATACCGGCTATACAGACAGTCCTACAGAAGTGTGTCTCACCTATCCCTGCCTCAGCAGTGCCGACATATCTGAGCTGACAGGGGAGTGAGTCAGGCTGGTCGAGCGCCCGTCTGGCCCTCAGCAGGACGGGGGGCGTCTGGCTGCCGCGCAGGATGTACACCTGTTCCTGGTCCACAAACGCCTCCGGACCAGCCTCCACGTTATCCGACAGACCCCGCAGTCTGGGGAGGGGGGAACAAACCAGATGACATGGTTAGTTCAGGGCTTGAAATTAACGGTGTCCCAATGGCCAGTGACCACTGAAATATATATTCACCTGAATATTCACCTGAATCCAGGCCATTAGGTACCCTTACTGGGTAATGAGGCCGTCTTCGTGGTGTAGACAGTTTGGGCATTCAGTGGGAGAAGGCGTATCCATATCTACATGTATCGGGGTGATCCTTCCACTCTATAGCCAACTTGGTCTTGAATACATTTACTGAGCTGCTGTTTACTGTGGCTGGTGACAGTTTGTTCCAAATTGGGGTTGTTCTTCAACTTCTTGCAGGGAAGACATGTTTTTTTGTTTGTTTTTATTCCAACATGTAATCAGACTTGGTGGCAGCACACTCAAGTTATCAGACAGACCACGCAGTCTGGGGGGGGGGGGACAAACTGGAGGACATGGTTAGTTACACTGGACTGGACACCGGCAGTCCTACCTGACCATAAAGACTACTCTACTCTGCACTACTAGTCGTGCAGCCTGACTCTTAGTACACCCCCAGTAGGGGACACAGAGTCTATTTACTAAATAAATTTCTTGGGTACTCAACTATTGACAGATTTCGAAAACATTCAGGCGTTGTGTAATGTACGTAGGTAGTCACTGATGAAAGGTATACGTAGTGACCATGTTCAAAATCTATCCAATTTCATGACTGTTTGGTATCTTATTACATGTGTCTCACCTCCTTCGGTTAATTTGTGTCTCACATAATACTAGTACTCTTACTTTATGTATGGATATTATAACTTGTTTACTTGCTATTAGCATTAGCCCGTGGGCACAAATAAACTATTATATCGTATTCTATTATGTATTACCTGAATGTCTAAAGTTTACTGACGTAATGTATTTTTTTATATTGTTGTTGTTGTTGAAGTCCTCATTTAACGTCTATTTATCTCGCTAGACATAGTCTCTCGGTGCTTTTCTCTTCAAGGTGCGTTTTGAATCAGGATACTAGTACTCTGGTGCTTGCTCACTGGTGATTTGCACTTGCGGCTTTGCAGGTAGATCTCTATTATATTAGGTACCATGTTGTTTACTGTACCACCCCATTGTAAAGGAAGAGGATCATCACACATTACAGAATGATCTTGATCTACTATGCAGATGGTCAGATCGCTGGCAATTGCGCTTTAATGTGAAGAAATGTTCCGTTATCCATATACACAAGTCTAAAAAAGCTCCAAAACATCTGTATACAATGTTCTCTGAGCCCCTTGAGATCAACACACAGCACCCGTATCTTGGAATCATACTCTCACACAACTTAAAATGGAACTCACATATTGAATACATAACAGGAAAAGCCAACAGCACTCTGGGTTTCTTAAGGAGGAATCTGAGGGGGGCGAGCAGAGCAATCAGAGCACAGGCATACACCTCAATTGTGAGACCCCAGCTGGAGTATGCTTCGACAGTTTGGGGCCCTCACAAGCGACTACATGCACAGACAAACAAACTTGAAGACAAAGTAGAGGCAGTACAGAAGCGAGCCGCTAGGTTCGTTACTGGAGATTACAGACCAACAACAAGCATGACAGATACACTGAGATCACTTGGATGGCCTTCCCTGCATCAACGCAGGCAGCAAGCCAGACTTGTCCTAATGTATAAAGCAGTAAATAACATGGTAGCCATTCCTATACACAACATTCTCACCAAAAACACAAACATTACAAGAGGACATCACTCACGCTTCATCACCATCCCATGCAAGACAGAAGCATACAGAGCCAGTTATTTCCCTCGAACCGTCATCGAGTGGAACACACTACCAGGTACACTCATATCTTGCACATCCCTTGATGCGTTTAAGGCGGGATTGGCCAGTCACCTTGGC